TTAAATTAATATTTAAACGTAATTTCCAATGATTGGCACTGTATTATGTGAAGTAGGTTTAGGCTTATCGCGTTACCTTATGCAAATTATTATTTTCTCGTTATGGTGAGATGTGTGATGCCGTCATATAGGGCCGCCAAAATATACTTGGCTTGTATTAAAATTCTCCAACCTGTAGTCATAAATTATTTGTCACCATTTTGCATTCAAAGATCTGATTTCGTCTCGGAATGATCATCGTACAGCTAAGTATTTTTCCTGTGTCTGTCCCCGCGGCCCGGTCTTCGACCAGGCCTCCACCCACAGGAAGCAGCCCGTAGCAGCTGTCTAACTCCCAGGTACCTATTTACTACTAGGTAACAGGAGCATCAGGGTGAAAGAAACATTTTGCCCATTTGTCTCCGCCTCCACCGAGGATCGAACCGGAACCTCAGAACTACGAATCCGAAGCGCTGTCCACCCAGCTGTCAGGCGTCTTACCGATCACATTACCACGAGACAAGCTCGGTCCCCAGTCGGACTAGGGAAGTAGAACAACCCTGGAAACCGACTACAGGTAAACCTGACTGTGTGTAGTGAACTTTGTAAACTTAGCGCCATCCAAACCACTAATAATAAAGAAATTAAAATTCTTATAAGAATTTCGCACTGTTGAATTAGTAAATTCTTATTTGCTTAAAATAGCGAAGAAAGTTACTATTCATTTATATAGAGTGCGAGTGAAATACATTTTTACAAAGCACTAAATTACAGAGTGTTCCAGGGAGAGCTGAGACAATAGTTGTGACTTTTGCTCTCGTCATTTATCACACGCTCCCGCTGGATCTTTTTAGCATTTGCCAATTATAAAAATTGTGGTCTGTTATTTTTGGCCGAATGCCATATTTTGTACACTTATCCATTTTCGTTATTATACTGTCTGTTTGGAGGGTGATCCTTATACTCGCTCCAAAACTATAGGGTAGATGACCAGACCACACACTAGGTGAAGGGACGACGACAACATTCTCATCGACTTGAGAATGGTCCAGGACGGACCGAAACGTCGTCGTCCCCTTTTGTGCCCTCTGTAATTCTTTTGCGCTACCGCTCACAGGATGAGTATGGGGTGCACAATAAACTAGCCGCCTTCGGCGGCAACAATCAAATCATCGTCGTCCCTTCACCTTCTAGTGTGTGGTCTGGTCAACATACTTTAGCCACACTATTGTGACTCATCACCTGCGTATAGTGTAGATGGTCAGAAGGCGGACTCATCAAACGGAAGGGAATAAACGAGACGACCTAAATAAGAATGACTGAAAGGGTGCTGGCAGACATGAGGGCGGGGTGTGTGTGAGCGCGAGGTGTGTGTGTGTGTGTGAGTCAGGTTGTGGGTAATACATAGGTGTTGGAGGGGCGCCAGGTGCCCCGGCCAGATATGCTGGCTTTAGCGACGTGTTTGGGGCGTGCCCGTCACACACATGTGTTGCGGAAGCAGACCAAACTGCCTTGCCCAACCCTTAACTGATGGCAAGGTCAATGAGCTCTTGTATTGTCTCGACGCACAACAAACATGTCCATGTGATTTTTGTTTTTACTTTAATATATATTATACGTTACAAGCTTTGTGTACAAGTTAAAGCAGGCAGACAATGGCCTGGCTGACTATGGACTCAAAGGGAGCTGTACTCTTAGGTTGAGCACAGGCTGCTCCATATTATCTCTGGGTAAACTGTAGAGGTACAATTTATATTTGCTACAAAAAAACGGAGACAAACCGGAAATGTGGCTACAACAATTGTGAATGATTATCAAGTGTACAAAATATATTTGGCTTTGAGTTAAAACTGTTCTGTTAACGGAAGTGTGTGTACTAGAGATAGACCTATATACACTACGGGTATATACCAACTTGTATACCAAAAACATGTGTTTTCGAGGCTCATACATTAAGCTAACCATTCCATACTTATCTAAGTATGATATGGTTAGGTTAGGCTAGGCTAACCTAACCTTTGGTAAGGTCTTATTAGGCTTAGTAAGGTCATCAGGTTACGTTAGATTTTAGTTAGTCATATCGTAATAATATTATTATTATTATTATATATAATATTATTATTATAATAATAATATTATTATTATATCATAAAATATACGTAAGAACATATTACAGCTGTACATTTCAGAGGTTGAATAATTATATAAATCCTCTATTGCCCAAAGCGTTTTTGCTAACGCTTTGCCTAACTCCTGGGTCCCAATTTACTGCTAGGTGAACAGGTCCCATTAGGTAATAGGAAACGTGCCTGATCAGTTTATAATTAACATTACCTGAGCTTCCCGAGGGCCACAATCTCCAATGGCCTCGGGACAGGAAGTTGGTGGCTTGTCAAAGGTCCTGGGAATATTCCAGAGGAATTTTTTACTGTTGAATTTACGGCTTTAGTGTGTGGGGGATTCCATAGGCTTATTAACCAATGAGTTGTGTGTCGTACATTGTGGCTAGTTGAGCGTGAAGCTGTTGTCTCATTAATAGGCGAGTTATGTTGGACCTTTTAAGGAAGTGGTCATATATGTAACTACAAATACTTAAAAATAATCTTAGAAGAAATATTATACTTGGTTTTAAATAGTGAGAATTGTTGCAGAATATTGCAGTATATATACAGTATTTTTAAGCTAAACATAGTAACAAACACAATTAGATTATTTGCCATCAGCTGCCCGAAACGCTGCGGCTTTACAAGAATGTAATTACTATGCTATGTATCCTCACAATCCCAATGTACTTTCTTGTATATACATAAATAAATAAATAAATAAATTTAGGACGAAGGCTGCATAAGAGATTTATGCTATTTGATGTGGCAGTTCGGAAGTACTATAGGACCCTTCCATTAACTCTCAAGCGCCAGAAACTTAGATTTTTTTGTCTAAATAACGCAGCGATAGACAAAGCATTTAGTCTATGGTTACTGCCTGATCGGTAGCCGATACAGTATAATAAACCCCTTAAGCATTTAGGATTCATTCTCTAACTGTATCTGTAATTGCTCTGTAATCAATTACTTCAGACCAATTGGTATGAGGTACTTTGAACTCTGTAACTGCTTCATACACTCACGAATAATGGATGATATTCTTGTGCTGTAGCTTGATTTTGCTAATGAATGGTAATAGACCAGCCTCGTATTTCATGTTATCTCCTGAACTTCTTATGAGATGGGTATAATAGATGAACTTACAGCTAGTTTTGTATCTTCACTTTGTACTCCTTCATATAGAATAGGGTAGCAGCACATTGATGTGTATATCGAAGTTTGTTAATTAAACAAAAATATTCGCAAGATACAAAAGCTCATGTACACCATTTTATATATTTAATGAGAGTTGGAGAATAAGCCGAAATGTCAAAAGTTTAATTAGTACCGGAAAACGCCGTAATATAAAGTCGCTATTCTGAGCAGGTGATTTAAAAAATAAAACATTACAAACTCCGAAACTCTTTTTATAGTTGAATCGAAAAGTGGGATTACTTGAAAATAAATAATTTGAAACACGGGTGTGTACAATTTTCGTGTTCAATTTCAGAAATAATTAAAAAAACAATTTATTTAACTGGATTTACCTCCGAAAGAAAATAACGGCATAATATATGTGATGACATTGTTTATGTAAAGAAATCATAAGGATTGCCAAAATACTTCAGCATGAACTTCCTAAGGAATCTTATTCAGGTAAATAAACCAAGGTTCTATTTTTAATGTATATTTTATCTTCGTGGTAACATGTAAACTTTATACACGGATGATTTTTTTATTTTTATGTAAATATATAATAAATGCATTATTTAAGATTAATATTTTGTCATATTATAACATAGTACTGTACTAATGGTTTAGTGAGGTCGTTTTCTCTCCATCATCATAGTTACCGTTTTCTGTGAGGTGTGAAGGCATGTAAACAAAGCTTTGGGGTGAGAGTTGCGTCACCGTCCTCACAGCGCAGGTGATTTGCCCTCACTGGGCTTTTCTTTGATCACGGTACAACTTGATGCTTCCTTTTTGTTGTATGGTTTCTAGTTGGTAATTATTAATCAAATGTAGTGCGTGCTGGGAGGAACATCAGCTGGTGATAATAGTAAAATGATTGCGTGGCCTCTTGACCCCACCGACAAGTGTGGGAACCAGTCGAGCAGACATCCAGGCGACCGTCTTGCCGGGTTATATATTTGACTTTCTTAGCAACATCTCAGGGAGTGAGTAGAAATTTGATGGACAGTCCATTGGCAAATATACATATAATTTTGGTTTTTCATTGCTAGAGGGTTTACCGGCACAATTATTCATACATTTAAAAAAGTAGACCCGTGTGGATCAATATTTTTTGTATGGACTAGGACTACATTTAGTTCTTGGTACATTTAAATACAGAAGTATTTAAATGTTAACCCATTCATTGGTCTAGATTCACTTGGTGACATGAGGGTATATCCTTCATTTGGGTGGATATTTGTGAAGCATTTCTTTGTTTTAACAAGCTAGTGGGTAAAATGGCCTTCATGTCTTGGTGTTGTCACTTCTTGAAGCAAAATCAAATCAAATCAAATCAAATGTTTATTTAGGTATGGTACATACATACAAGAGATTATACAAAGAGTGATGGATTTATAGATAGAGCTAGTACATACAATGCCTAAAGCCACTATTACGCAAAGCGTTTCGGGCATAAGCTTGTGTACTAACCTGTTTAATGCTATAAACCAGGATGTCTTGTATAATGACTATGCAAATAAAGCAAATGTATGAGACTGGCTTCTGAGTACAGTAGTTAAAATGACATGGATTATTATAATTAATATGATACTTTTCAAGGTGATAGTTTTAACATTTATTATTTTCCTGTACTGTACTAAACTATGAGCTGCATAGAATTTGATTTGAGGTCATGTTTTATATTAATATGCTAAAATCGGTTTAAGTATGTGTGTATTAATGCACACTGACTTATTCTTGCAGGGTAGCCAGTCTGCCAGTAAAGCAGAAGCTGGACTAAAGAAGAAGGTTGGAGAATATGGAATTGCTATAACTTTTTTTGCCTCTTTTTTTTTTTTTTTAATTTATGCTGTGTTCTCAATTAAAGCAGCAGCTAATGTGCTTGTTCACTATAATTACTTTTTAATATTTTTTTATGCATTTTCTTCTTCTTATTGATACTTTGCAATATAAACCTAATAAAGGTTAAATATATTTAAACATTGTACTGTACATTAATTCCTCGTATTGGAAATAAGTTAGTTATATTTATATGCGTAATGCTTTATAATAAAAATTAGCTGCCGTTTTACGATTTTAAGGCTTTGTAAATAATTGTTTGAATATTTTACTGATCAAAAGAAATCTTCCAAATTTTCAGCATGCATCAGATGTGAAGCTGGCTTAAATATTTTTTGGCTATCCCTTTGTGTTTTCATTTATTACATAACTTTTGTGTTTTTAATCCAAGTTCATGTTTGTTTACCTCGGTCAAGTTTTATGCTTGAATTACCAAATAATCTTTATTGATGCATGACTCTTTACTTAATATCAAAATGTAAAGTTTACATAAAATGCCATCTTTATTTATGCATTACAGTGTATATACATATTTTTATTTCCAAAAGTAGCGTACAAATGTAGGTTAGGCAACAGTCTAGACATTTCTTGAAACATACATGGCATTTTTGTGTTAGGTATGTAATAAGCCTGTGTGTGAGATTTGCGTGCTATGCATGTGTACACGCAAACATGACTGCCTCTTAGTGACAACAGGGTGAGGTTTAGCTTTTAATGCCCTGTCTACTACTGTACCTTTATGCACCCGGTGCATTTTTCAGTCTCTCGATGTTCAAGTTCTGTCATTTAATTTTGTATCTTATTTTATTCTAGCATCTGTGACATCTTCTTTCATGCATTCCAATTGTTGTCCATTCATATGTTGAACAATTGCTATACTTCTTATATTTTTTTAACTCTTGCATTTCCAATTTACACCAATGTCCTTTCTTCAAATTTTTGTTTAGCCCTAAGAGGCTGTCTATATCCACCTTGTTTATTCTTAATATCTTGTAGATGCCATTTTTCTATTATTTTTTTTTTTTTTAATTTAATTAACCTGTCTTCATAATTTAGTTAATAGCTTTTTGCAAACCTCTGTACTTTTCAAGTTTCACTTTGTTTTTCAAGAGTTATATATTCCATGTGGGTACTCCATATTCCATGTACAGTACTGTAAATTGTTTTAAATTCTTGCTTATATTCCTAAGTGTCTTACATATGTTTATCAGAGTTTATCAGATTCTTATTTATGGTTGTTATCCTGTTTATGTGAGCTTCTAGTGTTTGCTCTGGAATTTCCTTGCAGATATTTTTCTTGAAATGATTTCCAAAGTTGCCTTCCCTTAATGGTTTGGGTTCCTTCTGGTCTCCTGTCTCTTTTTGCATCTTCTTTGCCATGTACTTCCTGAACTGAACTCTGACAGCCGTATGCGTGTTCACTCTTGGAGTTTATCAAGCTCTTTCAACAGTATTTAACAGCCCAACATAATGTTTACTTTTCTCATTAGCTTTGCATCATCTGCAAATGTGGACATATATAATGCACAACTTTGTGTAGGTCATTCATAAAATTTAAGAATAGCTATGCTTGCAACATTCCTTCAGTCTTTCTGCAACATTCCTTCAGCCTTTTTCCTCCTTTGACTGGTGACCCTCTGTTTCCTAGTCATCAGGCACTCTCTTACCCATTGTACCAGTACAGTGTCTTGCCAGTTATAGTTATCTTACCTCATCATCCTATAAACATACAGTAGTGTTTTATGAGACAAAGTATGAAATGCACTTTTGAGAGTCTAGAAAATGTTACTCCGGCAGCTATTTTTTTTTATCCAGCTGTATTTTAGTGAATTCTGCCGGAATTCTGTCAGTTTCTCTAATGATATTTCCCTTTTGTCAGTTTTTCTTAATCTCGGGATGATTCATCATTCTCTTCCCAATTACTTTCTCTAGTACTTTGCAAGGAATGCAAGTTAGTGACATTGGTCTAAAGTTTAGTGCTTCCTGTCTGTTATCTTTCTTGAATATCAGAACTATAGTTGCTTTTCTCCAGGTTTATTTAATTCTCCAGCTGTATTTTTGTATTTAAAAAAAATCATTGTGGTGCTATCTTTGCTATTCTGTTTTTCTGGCATCTGGATCCTCTAGTAGTCTTTTTACCTTCTTTTCTTGGATTATCTATTACCCATCTTTGTATATTTTTAGTCATGAAAAGAAATGGCTGTGCTTCAGATATTTGCCTGTAGAAATTTAATTAACTAGTTGGTATGTACACTAGATTAAGAAAAGTAATGGTTTGATTCTCAATATAAGGGACCAGTTGAAAAGGAAGATGATACAGTATATCAAATTAGGGTATTGTAGCTAGTATATACAAGGCAGAAATTGGAAGTTGGAAAGGAAAAAATCTTGTGATAACCAGAGAAAATGACAGAACTACTGTATGTAATTTTTTATCGATAACAGGCGTGTTGTAGTGTAATTGTAACAGAAGAATATTGATGTCATTGATGACATTGGTATTTGTGATCAAATCTGCTATCCATATTTCATGATAAAATAGTGGATTGGATCTTAGCTTACCTTGAAAGAAAACTAACCACCACCTAGTTTCAAAGGTAAAGCTTAAAGCAATAAGGCTGTACAATGTTTTTAATACGGTATCAATTATTCTTGCAGGGTCCAACAGCACCCTTGGACTTTGCTGGCCCTCCAGGCAATCCAGAACAGGAGGCTGAGGGCCAGAAGGAGACACTTGTTATCACTCGAGAAAACACAAGCAGTCTCAGCCCACCGTCATCCCCAAACTCTCTCCCATCTGAAGCTTCCTCACATAGGTAAATTCATGTTTAGTGAATGGTTCACTCCAAGAAGGTATCACTGTAATTTAAGGATAGAAGTGTGTTTGAATAGCACATAGTCCTGTAGTCATTATTTATTTTAAATAATAATGTATTTAATGTATTTATTGTATTTAAATTTGTTTGAATATTACTTGATAGTGTCATGAGTGTGTGAAAGACGACTGTTAATGGGAAACGTGGACAAAGTATGGTTATGGTGGTCACTAAGCTAATAGTACTAAATGTGAATAGGGTTATTATGAAAGTCAAGGTAAGTATGTAAGTATGGAGAAATGGGCAAACCTTGTGTATAGACTCGATATATGAAGCATTGGAGTATGTCAAATTTGGTGGATGCTGATAGTTCTTTTAGCACAAGGTAATATATTTATGTAGGCTGGGCATAGTTTAAAATGTTACTCATGTGAGAGAATACTGTAGAAAGTGAATCTGAACAGAAGTATGATTGTGATGGTGGTGAGAGGCTGAGAAATTTTGTGTAAAATTAATGTACATGGTGACTTTGTTAATCAGTTTAACTACTTAAGATGTATGATAAGAGGAGTTTGTGCAATTGAAGTTCAAAATTAAGTGTCAGTGAAGACAAATGGCTGGTACAATGAAAGGCCTAATTAGGAAAACTAGATAATATTTGATGCAGCCAGGGGGCTATATGTAGTGCTACTGCTGACCCTTCTGTATGAGTGCAAGATGACAATGTAGTATGAAATGTTAAAAATCAAGAATATTATCTGCAGAAATAGACAAACAGAAGTGTGTGTAGAGTAAAACTGTCATAGAGAGATGCGGAGTGCAAAAATTGATAGGTTACATGATTGAAGAGCGTGTACCAAGGTTGTTTGGGCATGCTGAAGAAATGGATGAAGGTAGACTGGAGAAAAGAGTATTTGAATGAAATAAAAAAAAAATGTAAGAAAAAGTTTTTGCTGTTCTTGTACTACAATTTTTGTATTTTACCATTTATAGTACAGTATAAATTGTCATCCACACTTCTCTGGAAATAAACATTCCATTCACCTGGGCTGTATGGGTCTCGAACTGTGGACCCCACGCGTGTACTATTCATAGTCTCCTACAAAGATTACTCATAGGCCAGTCGATAGAGCTTCGGCCTCACACGTGTGGGGTCCACCGTTCGGGACCCATACAGCCCAGGTGAATACTACGGTATATATATATCTCTCTTATTATATTAGAAAGTATTGTTTATACTGTATGTGTTTTTTGAGACTTTATATTTTCACAATCATTTGTGGAAAAAATTTGGCCACATTATTGATTAGGTTGCAATTTACTCTATATATTTCTCATTATAATTCAGACTATATCACTGAATATGATCATACAGTATATTTAATCCTATTTCCCTATAAAGTATAGCCAATTTGCTTTTGTTCCATTTTATTACCACTTAAATGATTTAAGTTTGATAAATATTTATAAACAGCTTAAGTAAGGAGTGTGACACTACCTCGACCACTGAAGACACCAGCTTTGCATCGTGCCTGACGGGGGACCCCAGCTGTGCTTCTGAGCTCTCTCCAGCATCACCTGTGAAAGACTTATCTCCATCACTTTTTTCCAAGAATTCTGGTGGTGAAGCTTGTGCAGCCGAAAAGTCTATTAATTCTGGTGAGTGAACCCCTTTGACTGTAAATCTAGTGACTTATCTACTGATTATTTTCTTGTATATAAATAATAATTGTAATGTTTCTTAGGTTGTGCACATTATAAATGGCACAGGGTATCATAATTTAATTATATAAAGTATTTTTTTTTATTTATAATAAGGATTGGTGAAAGGCATTCTTTAACAATTTAATTACAGTAAATTCATTGTTAATTTGTTAATCTCAAAATGTTAAGAAAGAAATGTCATCCTTAATGAAGAGACATAATTAGGAATATGTACTGTATTTAGGCAAATAAAAAGATGCCAGTTAAATGCCAATCTTAACACACTACTTATCAGTATTGTTACATTAACAGTACTTGTTAATAAGTGTTTAATTAATAAATAAATAATAATACTGCAATTAAATGTGATAAGTGAAAAGTGTTTGCTACTTGTAATTTCTTGTGGTATTTGTTTGTTACTGTTCTTCTATTATCAGTTATATATATCAATTCTCAATCACACTTGAACATCTAAGCACTGTTAATCTTCAGTTGTTACTCACTAAGTTTTGAATGTCATTATGCATAACTAACATTGCTGGTAGAGAAATGGATAGCTTGGTCATTAAGCAAATCTTGTCGAGTAATTCATCATGTTAAGATAGATTTCATAATTTCTGACTTAAATATAACTAACCCTCCTCTTGAAATCTGAAATATATTTTAATAATCAACTCCATATTATTATTTTTTGTCAGATTTTTTCTTTAATAATTGTATGTATTCACCATGGACACAAGAATGAACACGAGGTATTATTTTTTGCATGGTTTGTAAATGGAGCTTTATATTCAAACCCCCCCCCCTCTTCCCCTCCAACATCACCCTTCTCCCCGGCCCCTCCTCCCTAAAATATTTCTAATAAAAATTGTTCATTTACAGTGTCTGACTCTGTCGCTCAAAACAGTGCCCAAAATGGGGTTAAAAAAGGTATTCTTTTAAAGGCTTTGTAATGTTTTATTTCGGCTGATCTTAGATTGTTGCCTTTGTTCACCCTTAAAGCCGGCAGCCAAGAGTGCTGGATTACATTTACCTAGTACAGTACGGCTCTTGGCCTTCATATTTTGTAACTGCCAAATTGCTCAATTTTTTAACTAATGAAAAGCTAGTGAACTAATCTTTTGTGTAATGTTTAGTTATAAATCGTGTCTAGCTTGTTTAATAGTGTGTGGCAATTCTAGTAAGCACCCTCTATACATATGTATTGGGAACGATTTGATGCTACAGATTTATATCTGGTGAATTGTCTTTTTTTTTTTTTTTTTACCTTGTAGCATCAATAATTGATAGTGGTTCTTTTATTTAACTATAAATTGATTTAGTAGTAAATTACTCCTTAATAACGGTTTTCAATATACAATACTCTTTCAGTAAGTAAAATCTTCTAAATACTGTAAAGTCTCTCTCTTGCAGATTACATTTTCTTAACTTGATAAGAATAATTAATTTTGTTTTGTTTAGCTGGAATTTATGAATTTGGTAATTTTTGTATTTTGTTTTACACCATTGTGGTCTTCATTTCTAGATACATTTATACACAGTGTTCCATTTTCTGTATTACTACCCTATACTATACAGTATATATATTTGTGTCAAATAAAATTGGCCTTCTGTTATCTCTCATACTTTCTTGTTAAAGTAGGTCCAATTTTCTTAATTATACATTTTAGGCTTCACATACAAACTTGTATTAATTGCTTTAATTTTAAAATTTCAAGACTTAAATAATTTCTCTATACAAAATTTGGTGTTTTCAGCTTAGAAATCCCACTCCTACACTTACAAACATGGAACCTTATTGTACCATGTCTTTCATCTCATTCACCTAAGAGCTTGGACAAATATTAATGAACCTTGTTCAGGAAATTGTATATTTTTGGATTTTTTTTTTTTTTAGCAATTACAAGATCGGTGGTAAATATAACGGTAAATTGTTCTTGTAACAAAAAAGAAACTTTACCGGAAACTCTGATGAGTGGAATTGATGAAAGATGTGAAAATATGATTTGGTTTGCTGGTGGGAGGAGGATGGAGAACAAATACAAGAAGGCATATCCATGAAACTTGCTGTAACAACTAGAGTGTGGGGAGAGTTACAGGTATTGATGGGGAAAATTATTATATGCAGTGAAGAAAGGGAATGGAATGGGTTTGGAGGATTTGCCTGTGTGAAAAAGTGGTACTGTGCCAAGTGATTGGAAAAAAGAAGTGCAAGTCTACCATTATAAAAATAAAAGTGAACTTAGTGAGTGTAAGAACTACAGTATAATAAGAAATGTGCATGATAAAATGATTGAAAGAATGCAGAAAATAGTGAGAGTTAGTGGTAAACAAGGTGGATTTTGCAGTGAAAGAGGTTACATTGAGACATGTTTAATGAATGTATCGGCGTCTGTGCAGTGTCTGAAATTTGCAAGCACACGTCTTGGTGTAGCCAGTGTTGCTGACTGGTGGATGGAAGGATGGCCTCGCAGCACACCAGTATAGGAACTAATGCCTCACACTTGAACACATTAAAGCTGAGGATCCAATAGTATTAGCCTGAAGTTTTTTAATCTTATTGATGAATCAACTTGTATGGAATAATTATATACCAGTATACTATATGGTTCTAAAGATTTTAAATATGTGCTTTGCAGTCACCTTGAGGACAATGTTTGTTTCTTCAGTATTATTTTGTTGTTCATTAAGTTTTGCTTATCCATTTGTTTATTAGTCCTCGATCCACTTAAATGGTTTTTCTTTTTAGTCATAGTGCATCTGTACACTCTTGAGTACCCTATATGTGAGGCATTAGGTTTTCTTCTCTTGAGCTCTTGTACTCTAATGATGATTTTAGGTACAAATTGATAGCCCGCATTTGCATTTTAGTTTTCAAGGATCTTCAGCTCAACATACTACTGTACTTGGATAATTTGATTTAAAAAAATTTGGGTGTATTAGAATTACGTAATTGGCATTGAAGTGGAATTGTGAAGAAAATTACATTTAACTGAATTACATCCACCTCATTTTTCACTGTAATTTCCCAGTGATTTTGGTTAGAACTTCACGATAAAACTCGTCTCTTTAATATGACCCTGTTGGACTATTTCCTCGAGTTAAAGACCTTAAGGCCATGCTAACCAAAATTAATGTATGTAACCTAATACTGTAAATGTTCAGTAATTCAGATTCTGGTAAACCGAATCTAAATAATCCAATAGAATTCATGTTTGAACTTTTGCCCCATTTTGACCTTTTTAATCTGAATGGGCATTTGGGTTAAAAGGTTTAAAACTGTACTAAATTAAAGCTTAAAATTGAGTTTGACTGCTTGACTTTCTAACTCCAATAGAAATTTGGTTAACTTCATTTTCTGCCAAACCCGAATCTCTGCTAACTCGAATATTCAGCTAACCGAAATGGGGGATGGGCTCCAGATGATTCTGATTACCAAGCAACTGTGTATGATAGTTCAACTTGGTATAAGTGTGTTGTTACTATTTGTATTTAAAATGCATTTTGTTACAAATTTCCATTGGTGCCGTATTTGCTGAATGTCATAAATTTTCCCACCTTATCATAGATAAGGAGGATAAGAACTGGGTGTGGAGATTTATTTTATTGTGACTAATGCTATATCTTATCAGTGTTTATAATTATAATACTCCATGCTGCCTGTTTGACACATCCCTCGTGTGTATTGGAACATAGCTAACAAAACTTGTCCTCCTCCAAATTTTATCATGAATTTCCCAATAGTTATTATTGACCCACATTGTTTGGGTGGTGATGTTTATGCATTGTGCTTATCACGACATTGTGCCACAATGGCCCAGAAGGGTAAGTATCTATTTTTTTATCAGATGATAATTGTCACAATGGCTTTAATAGCGCAATAGTTATGGTTAATGTGTCACACAAACATGATGTCATTTTTGCGGTGCTGCGGTTCCCGTAATTCCCTGTCTGACACCAGCAATTTTTCCACAGATTCAGAATACGAAAGTGCAGAGGAACTTGATCTCTCTTTTGAACCCACCTCAATTGTTACAGTTCAGCCATCTACTAAAAAGTCTCAAAGTCCAGTTACAAATGAGGCTGAGGTTAAGAAGCAAGAGGCAAGCGTGGTACTTGGTGTATTAGAGACATTTGATGACACTTCAGTCCATGAAGAAAGTCCTCGCACACAGATTGAAATAGTACCAGTTGTTTTTGAGAGTCCTGTAGTTAGTGAAGAGAGTACTTCAGTAATACTAGATAAAGAAAGTGATAACTTGGCACTTCAACATTGTGAAAAGTTACAGAATACTGTGTGTGACTCATTAGTGACTGTAACCAAAACTGAAATTATTGAAGATTCTATAAGCAAAAGTACTGATCTTTCAGATCAGCCCGTGATTAATTCTGGTAGTGAGGTGAATGGAGTGTTAACTTTCAATATTTGTGCACAGTCAACAGAAAATCAATGTACCTCATTATCACTTGAAAATAGTACTGTTAATAGTGAAGAATCTAGTAATACTGATGTGGAAATAGAAAATTGCAAATTTCAGGCATCTGAATCTCAACCAGAAAAGTTAATAAGTGAAATAAAAGGAAGTGAAGATCAGTTGGACACACCCGATAATGATGAATACAAAGTAAAAGACAATGAAAGCAATTGCGATCTTCAGTCCAACAATCAAATTGAAAGCAAAACCAGTGAAAGTGAACACGAAAGTATAGTACAAACTGATAATCGAATCCTCAGTGAAGATCCAAATAGCTGTAATACCACTCCAGTTACAGAAAAAGACAAAACCAATTCAAATCTTCAGTCCGACGGTCAAATTGTAAGCAAAGTCAGCGAAAATGTAGTACAAGCTGACATTCAAGTCATCGGTGAAGATCAAAATAACTCGAATACCACTGATGTTATAGTAAATTTGCAAAGTGAACAGGTAGACAATCAGCAAAGCAAAGATACAGTAAATAACAACTCGGAGTTGGCCTTTGAAGAGAAATTGTCAAGTATAGAAACTTTGGAGGCACCTCAAGAGAAACCACCACAACCATCGGATAACTTCATAGATCCAGAGGATATACCTATTATTCCACAGAAGAGCTATAATCTTGACTTTCTGGACAATTTAGATGATCCTAACTTTAATCCGTTTGCCACAAAGACTTATATTAGAAGCTCTCCACCACCAAGCCCAGAGCCTGGTTGTAAACTTCCTCCATTAAAACCTGCAATACAAAAAAGGAAATTACGAGAAGAACCTAAAAAAGCTCCATCTGAACCAGCAACTGAAACCACAACTCGAGGGATTAATGTGGAAAATCAGATAAAGCAAGAAAAACAAGAAACTAACACATTTGATGCTTTAAAACTAGAAACAGATAATAATTTACAAGTACCTCATACTGCACCTCTTGATGAGTTTGCTAAGAATCCTGAAAACCAGTCACAAAGTGTGGAACAAAACTCTGAACAGCTACTTGAAATCACTTTTGATGAGCCTGTGAGTAGACCTCCTAGAAAACTTGGTAAAAAGCCTCAGTTAAAGCAGAAGAGATCACCTACTGCAAAAGCTCCTCCAGAGTCAAAGCCTATTGAGAAAAACAACAACAGGCTCGAGGAAAAAACTGTATCCGAACCTGAAACCAAATTTGACCAAGAAGAAATTCCTATTCCCCCATCAAAGGGATACAATTTAGATTTCCTTGACAATCTTGATGATCCAAACTTCAATCCCTTCGCAACAAAGTGTGCTGTAAGTAATTCGCCTCCTAAAGAAGACCTTGCACTTACAGAAGACAAAAGTAAGGACAAACCAAAGGCTAGTACACCAAAGAAAGCCCCAGCAAAGAAAGGATTTACTGTCATTAAGAACAAAGCCAAAACTAAAGTCCCTTCTATAGATGATACAGATTTATCTAAGGAAATAGTTAATGTTCCTGAAGACTCCGATAAAGGTGTGAAGTTTGCTGAAGAGAAAGAAGATACACCTCTAACACCAAAAAAAGATTATAATCTTGATTTTCTAGATGATCCAAACTTTGATCCTTTTCAGTCAAGATCGCCTCTAGACAAAAATACTTCAACTGTTCGTGAATCTGACTCTTCTAATATAGTGCCAAAAGATATTGATACTGCCAAAGTTAATTCTGTGAATATTCAGACAAAATCTGATACTGAATGTGATAAAGATAGTGCTACAGATTTTAGGACACAAGTTGAGTATAGCAAAGATTCTCTGCCAGAAGCTTCACAAGAAAACATAAAAGAAGAATCTTTATTGGTAATAAGTAAAGAGGAACCTAGAGAAACAAACTATTTGATTGAGAAGGAAGATAAGCCAGAGGTTATAGAATCTAATGTTTCTGAAGAAGAAACCCGTGTTTCAATAGGAGATACACAGGGTTGTGACGCAAAGTCATTAATTTCACAAGAGGAAGTTCATAGTGTAATAGACAGTTCAAAGAATCAAACTGAGGAAAAGTGTGAAGCTGGTGCAGAACATTTACAGTTGAGAAGCTCATCCGTATCAGAGGATGAATGTCCTGCAGTGCTAAATAAAAGTCCTGAACCAAAACTAGATTTGGAAACTGAAGAATATACAAATAAAGAATTTAAGGAGAATATCTCTAATACAGAAATAGAATTAAACCTTCCCAAAGTTCCATCCATTGGTACAATTGGTCAACTTGACAGTCTTGAGTTTGCCCAGCTGCTTGGCAATGAAGCCAGTCGTCTTGCTGAGGAGTTTATGAACTGCTCCACTGATTCTGGATTGCCTGATTCGGATGATAGCAGTTATATCAAGTCCCACAACATAGAGTCTACCATGGCAGACATGAATTGCACAAAGTCACCACAGTATGGAGCTCGTCTTGATGAAAATGTCAACCCCTTCCAAAAACATTCAAGGTTATCAAGGTCTCCACCTTTGGGCAAAAGAGAGGCAGTTTGTGGAGCAGAAAGTGGAGATGTTCCTAATGTGCATGACCCCTTCAAAGCAAGAAGATCACTGAAACGAGAGAGTGTCATGGGAGAGGAAAGATTGGTATGTAAATGTTTTATTTTTATGTTAAAAATGCTTAAAATGTTTCCCATATTCCTCCATTTTCTTTTTTCCGAATATCTAGTGTGGAAATAATAATATAAAAATTGTTATCGAGTCTACTTCCTTGTTTCCTATTTTTCATCTCGACTTGTCAATTCATATTTCATGTTAAAAAAATATTATTGTTCATTAACTTTGGTATAACTTTATTTTTTGTTTTTCATTGTCTGCTTTTTGCTTTCTTTATTGATTTAGCTATTATTAAATCCAGCCAATGTTCATTCAGGAAATCATGCTGAATTATGTGCAGTTTCAGTGCTTGGCACTGGAGTTAACACTGAACCATCCCTGCCTCACTCAATACATTGTCTGAATGAAGCTTTCATTCTTTGCATTTAGTCTCCACTAATGCATCTTTATTTGATATTTTTATCTAGTGAATATTTGTTATTTCAACTTTTTCTAAATCTGTAAATTATGTATGTAGTGTGATAACTTGAAAGAACAAAGGTATATCCTTAGCATGAAATGGTGATCTTATAGGTTTATGCAAGACTCTGTAACACTTTCCCAAATATTTCAGATATGAAATAGAAATAAGAACTCTAATTGGTGGCATTAATCTCTGGCTATCCAATACATGTTTCCACTAACCAGCCACACTTGCACACTTGCATCTTTACCCCTCGTCACACTACAGTGCTCCTCCCATCACTACTTTTCATGCTCAGGTATTTCAATATTTTCCCCTCCTTCTCTGATATAAATATTTCATGGATGTAAAAAATGTTGCACACTTTCTCAACTTCTCTCTATCCTCTTATAAGTTTTGTACTATTGGTTCTCCTCTTTGCACATTCAGTACTCAGTATTCTCAGGGCCTATTGAAACACACATCTATGTTACAGTACTGTACATAAATCACAAAATACAAAACATATAAATGCAGTATTACAGCTCATTCGTACCCTGAAAACCCTATGAAGTTTTGCATTTGCAGCTTAGGAATGTCATTTTATTTAGGATTTGACTGTCTTTTTTTTTTTTTATTTTTTTTAATACTGTAATTCAGTTTAAAAGAAATTATAATTTACTGTAGGCTACAGCAAGTCTGTATTTTGATACTCATATTTACAGAGCATTGGCTGACAGGCTTACAGAAAGTAGTAGCTAGGAAAATCTGCTGAGGATTGTTATTGTATTAATTGGTCTTTGAACAACTGTCCAGGACACCCTAAGTCTGGATGACGACTCTGGAATAGTGCTGGGAACTCGTTCCGACTTGGAGACAGAAGTCAATCATAGTGAAGCTGGACCTGAAATTGCAACAGGTCTTACCTCTAGTGACCTTAGATGTGCATCACAATGTAAGTACTAAAATGTATATTAAATAGTTTGAGAATGCTTCTATTGCATTGCAGTGCATCTTGCATGATTTTAGATTTTTTTTGGAATGTATAATGCTTGTTTAGTTTTTGTGTGATCTTCCCTTTTCTACCATCCTCCACATTCTTGGTTCATAAAATTAACAAAATTAAATATTACAAATAATACTGTATGGAACTGAAATTAAGCACCTGATAAGACTTGCATTTCTATTCATTCTTGAACATGTGCAAAACTTTTGATTTGTATATGTGATAATTTGTCTCGCATAATTCCTGAAGAACTTGTTCCTTAATTCCTGTCCTCTATCCATTTTTGCACACTTTACCACTTACCTGTTTACTGTAACATAACCATTGGGTGACATAAACATCTCAAACTTGCAAAGAATGTGGTCATGAAATGTGAGTTTCATAAATAAAAGATGGCATTAGAACAAATTAAATTAAGCATGCAGAGACTGCATGCTAACTGGGCTGGCAGAATCCTTAAATTTGCAATTATACTGCATTATTCTTGTTACTTGAAGATAGAAGGAAGAACAGAAGATGTAATGGCAAAATATAGTGATACATAAATGTGGTAAATAAGGCAAGTTACTCAAGTCAAGTTCCCTTCCCACATAATCCTGGGAAGGGAAAATGAATACATTGGGGGAAACATCTTGAGGATAACAGATGTGTTTGCAAGTTGATTTGTACACTAGTGATGTAGATGAGAGAAACTAATACCTTACTTTTTTCCATAGAGTCCTCTTTGAGTGACACAAACATTAAAGATTTTTTAAAGGGCCACAATACTGTACAAAAATGTAATCCAAAAAGTGTGCAAAATGCACAAATCTGCACTAAATTGTATATTGTGAACTAGTCAGTGTTCTCATGTTTAGAAGGTTTTGGCAATAGGTACATATATGCCTCGTGCATATATGTACGAGGCATATATGCCTCGTACGTACAATTTCATGCCTGGCAAACTCAATGATAATTAGAACTGACTGTAATATACTGTATCTTCAATATGTTTACATGGAAAAAAATAGGAAAGAATGCCAAAAAAAAAAAGTTAAAGTACTACTTTAACTTTTCTATGGGGTAGAAAGGAATATTCTTTTTCCTCCATCTACCCCCCCCCCCTTTTCTATGGGATAGAAAGGAAAAAGAATGGGGAAGCACTATATTAAATGTAAGGAGACGTTGAGTAGAAATAATTTGAGTAAAGTGTAAAGTAGCACTTGTTTGAGTGTGGCCATAGTAATCACCTGTGGGATAAAAGAAGTATCTATCCGTCTTATCCTTCAACTTCCCCCAGCCCCATCCATGGGTGATGGAGATCATAGGTCCGCTAGTGGGGTATAAACTATTACATTTGACTTGCTGTCTACAAGCCGAGGTCATATATTTATTGCTTGGTGAACAGAGGCACCAGTTGTAAGAAGGCCTGCTCGGATATCTCGCCCTGCCCAGGAATTGAACCTGGGATTTTTTTATTGTGGGCTAATTGCACTGACCTTTCTGTATATGTAAATATATTGTGATAGATTGATAGTTTGGGTTTTATAAGCACATCAACTACGTATTGTACAATATTTCATAATTTTGTGCTTAAGTGTTAAAACCAGCTTTTTGTGTGTCTGTCTGGTTTAAATTTGTTGTTAAATCTATTTTCCTAGGTTTTCTAAGAAACTAATTATTAAATATGAGAAACTTTTCTCTCCTTTTCAGTGCTAACATTTTTCACCCTGAAATATTAACTGTGGCCTGTATGGTACTATTACAACAGCATTTTCAAAGCCTGATTATACCCTCAGAATGAGCATTTTTTATTGCATAGAATTTACATTACATGTTAGGTTGAAATGTATAAAATTATATAAAATCCTTTTATATGAATAGCAAAATATGTGTGAGAGTATTGGGTAAAAATAGGTTATTTTGATGTTGGTGTATGACAGGATTGTCATTTGACATTTGAATGAATTTTTTAATGGATTAGTAAGGTGAAGGCAATGAGTCACAATAACGTCGTCGTCCCTTCACCTTCTAGTGTGTGGTTTGGTCAATAGTAAGGTGAAGGCAAGAACACCTGGATTGAAAGTGAACTGTGATGACATGAACTGTGATGACATGTTTGTATGTGATTGATCTGGTGTACTTTGCTGTGCTGATAGTGAAGATGTCCCCCCCCCCCCAAAAAAAAAAAAAATTGTGAATGAGACTAATAGTATATGCAAGAGAAGAAAGTTAAATGTTAATGGAGGTAAACTTGAGATCTTGGTGTTTGAGAGAAGGGAATGGAATGTTAGGAATTTTATAGATCCCTTATAGTGGGAAGATATTAATTTGAACTGCAGGATGTAAAGCGTGAACAGATATTGGAAGAAGAAATTAGTTTTAAATGGGGAGTATGCAGAGTGAAATAAGAGAGTGAGTAGTGTGTGGGAGAAGAGTGCTAGGAGAGATGAATAGAATAATGAAAAGAAGGAATGAAAGCCAAGAAAGAACAGAGATAGTATACAGTACTTCCATCCATGACATATGGAAGTGATATGGAAAGAAGCAGAGTGCTCAAGAGTACGAACAGTGGTAATTAATTTGTTTTAGGAAAGTAGCTGGGGTATGTGGGATGTGTGTGTAGCAATGATGAAGTATACCAGAGACATAGTATCGGTGAAAGGCGCAAGGGATTGAAATGCCGAATGGCATGTGTGAAGCACATTACTTACACTCAAATGGTATGGTCATGTTAATAGTGCCCGAGAATGGTTTAAAAAAAGTATGTACAGGGATCATATCGAAGATACAAATGACTAGTAGTGGAATAGAAGATTTGAACCATGCAGTATTTGAATGGATGGGTGTTGAGGATGAGTTAGAGGAGATTAAAAATTATAGGGGTTGTGTGATGATAGTGCCTCCTAGAGAAACTTGCTATGGCCCTCTACCTAATGGGGAGCTCCTGGGAAGAGAACTGTGTTGAGGCTATAGGTTGATTTTGGATTCATCAGTGAAGAGTGACAATTCTGTGGGTTGTTTTCCCTAGGGGTATTCTTTGAGGATGAGAGAGTAATGGTGCAAGGGTCGTAACTTTCCTCAATTTTATCAACATTGTTCCTCAAGTTACAGCTGTTTTCAAATTTTCTGCTCTCTCGTGTACATGTCTTTCTTCTTCTTGTTTTACAATATTCGCTTCCCAATATTTCAACTAATTTTCATCCTCTCCTAATGTTCATGTATCCTAATGCAAGTTAGGGGGCTATGGCTTTACCTTGCATTAGCAGTCAAGTGTTTCATGCCTATACTTCTGTACTTAAAGAATAAATTAAGGGCTTGAAGAGGATTATATATATATATGGCTGTCACTGCAATGAAAGGGGGATTCTTAGTGAACAAAATATGATGGATATAGTAGATTGATGTAGATATTGTTTGTGCTGTGGTGATTTGTACATTGCTTCATTTTTGTGTCTTTGTACTTTCTTAATAGATTAATGTATTACATTTGCATTAGTGTAATATTGTTGCTCATATTTTCTGTAATTTATTTAGTGAAATTTTATCCATGCCATGTCTATGAGTTGAGTTATGATTGATTTTTGTATAATTTTGTTTTATTTCTTAAGAAAATGCCCCTTGATATAAAGGTTTCATTTTGCTATTTCTCAAATGTCTTTTCTATTCTGTTTTATAAGAACATTCATAGTTCTGTAGCTTTTGTACACACAGGCTTTTTTTATTATTATTATTTGGAATTTAACTTAATGTTTAACTTTGTTAAACTTGTGTGTTGCTTGCCTGTTGCTACCTGCCTGCCGCATGCTGTGTGCTTTTTCAACATGTCTTTCCAGTGAAAACGGAAGATGAAGCAGAAGAAATGCGTGATCAAATTACAGATGAAGAGTTCCTTGCCTCGGAAACATGTAAGTAATTGACGAGCTTATATGAACACTATGTTGATTAAACAAATGCTTTCATTCTTAGATTCATTATCACAAGCCTCTTTCCCGCTTCATGGGATTGGTAGGCGTAAAAATTACTCTCCTTTGAGTAAAAATGAAGATATAATCCTGGTACTGTACACGGTTATACAGTACTGTACGTATATTTAAAAAAAAAAAGGATTTGTCAAGTATGTAGTTATATCAGTTGTACCACAGTTTGCAGCATCGTAGATAAACGAGCACCACCGCACTCGCAGTTTTCTAAACACTGTTGGTTACCAAGGCCAGTTTTCTCTCGGGCATTATGTCAGAATGTAAAAGCATTATGTAGGTTTTTATCATTTGGTGAAATTAGAATATGTTGTCCAAACACGATGTAGTTTGAGACAACTTATATTAGTAGGACTGTTGGAATATAGTTAGTGCTCTCATTTTGATTGCATCAATTTTTTTTTAATTCATTGCAAGAAAAATAAATTAGTAAAATTACTTTCATTCAGTCTATATCTGTTACGTTATTTAACAGAATTTTGGCCAGAAGTAGAATCCAGAGAATTTTAGTATGTTTTGACTCGGAAGTAACAGTAAATTAAATGTTAGATTAATTTATTATAATGTATAGATAGTTCAGTGTAAATTTTTCAACAAATAAAACTGTCCTCTTAGTCAATGGCATTAACATCCTGCCACCACTGAATAGAAATGAGGGTGGTATTGAATGTTCTAAACAAAGGTACTTGGGTCATTACCAATTTAGAATCTTGGAATTGAAAATAATTTATGCCTGAATTCCTGTATAGGAAGAGAAATTTCCTTTATAAATTTGATTTTTGTATACATTGCTGTACTGTATATCTATAGTGTTAATTTTTTGTATTACATTATTTCTTTGCAAGTTCCCTTAAAGCTGCATGAATAAATTGGAGGTAAATATTTTGGTAGTAAATTAATTATTTTGGTGTATATCTGTACTGTACTTGCATTATGTGGTAATGGGCCTAATTTTTAATGTCTTACTATTGCAATACACTTCTGGTTAAGGTGGTCCTCTTAGTATATCTTCGGTATTAAGTAATGGGATAACTCTGTATGTGGTAGGGTGGTTGATACAGCATGTAAGGGAGGTATGGTGGTGGTACTGAAGCATGTGAACACCATGACACTTCTACCCTCGGTTCAATTCTTGGTCATGGTAGAAATTGTTGGCATTTGTATTTATAATACACATACTGTAGTGCAACTTATATATGTCAGGCATTGAACTGTTGCAGTGTATCTTTCAAGATGGGCATGATTCATAAGTGGTATCTAGAATACAGTAATTGGTTTTATCACATTAGTTTATGGGCACCAGTATGGGGATGTGAGAACATAATGGCACAAATGAGGGCAAGAGAAGAAGAATTTGAAGTTTATAAATGGAGAAGTAGATGCATCTTATTCACTTTTGACACATCTTAATGGGAGGGTAATTATGAGACTGGTGAAAATTCAAAACAGTGGGAGGGTTTGAGGGTGTCAATTGTGCGGCCAGGAATGGATGAAAGATCTTAAGGTAAAAAGGAAGGCAGGAATATGTGCTTATAGCAAAGAAAATGAGGGACTAGCGAGTGAGTATGGTATAGTTGTGTTAATCCATAATATTTTAAATTGGATGTAAGATAAGTTTTTTGTTAGCATACTGTTATACTAATAATAGTATAGAAAAGGTACAGGTGTCAGGAAAGTTATTGTTTTGAGGGTGTATTAGTGCTAGAATGGAGCATGAATGCAGAGTGGAAGTTGTTGGAATGTGGGGTGTGGCAGGTGCAAAATGGAATGGTTGTTTATATAGTGGATATGTTTTCAGAGAGGGATATGTTACTGTTAAGCATTTTCTTTTGAATATAGGCCTATACATGAGAGAGATCTACTATGTTTTGGACTGAGCGATGATCTTCTAACAAAGATTATTCAGTCCATGGCCAACAGATGGCAGCAGTGTATATTGTTGAGATGGCAACTTAGTTGACAGTTTGCTTGGAGCTTGCTCCATGCAAATATATATTTTTATTCTTGTACAAGTATAATATTGTACAAAGACAACATTTTATGATTTTAAAAAGTTATCAATTTAAGTGGTTTTGAATGAAAGACAGTGATTTGAACTACAGTATAGGGTAAAAATGTGCAAGACATATTTGAATAGGTGGTATGTTTTAAATACTTGGAGACAATATTGTATAAAACTCAGAGTATGAAGATAAAAAGAAGAGTGATAAGTGAGACAATAGTAGTAGGGAAGGTGAATAGCATAATGAAATATCAATCTGTCTGTCTATGGTAATTAAGGAGAGAGGATAGTAAACATACAACTCCCAAACCTAATGCATGGAAGTGAAACTTGGGAGTGGAAAGTGTCAAGACTTCGATCGGTGGAAGTAAGATTTGTTAGAAAAGCAGCTAGTTAATATGTGGCATGGGTATAGCAATGGGGAGGTATGAGAGGGGTCTTGTACGAGTGAAAGGGTTGAGGGAAGGAAAGTGAAGTGGGTGAGTTGGGTGAAGGGCAATACACTGTGATGGTATGGACATGTTAGAAACATGTTTGGGAATTGTTCAGTGAAAGAATATATTCCATGAGGGTGAAATAAGGATACAGTATCATATAGTATTGGGAGATAACCATTAACTTATAAAGGAATATTTGGAATGATACATAATTTAAAGGGTGGGAAAGAGATTAAAAGCATAAGAGTAAAAGATTTGTGAGGTGATAGAACCCCCTGGAGAAACTCCTGCTGAGGCTATACCCTGATGGGGAGCACTGTAAGGGAGTGAGGTGTCACTAAAGATAGATGATGTTGCAATAAATATACTGTACAAAAATTCCTTGTTGAGGAAGTCTCGCATGTTTGTTAAGTTTCATATTTATTACTTTTCCCCAGTTTTCAAAGAAGCGACTGATATGGAGAACCAGCTGCGTAAATCTTTGGCAACACCATTGATGGGAAGGTAGGTTGGCTTCTTGTTTGGTGCATGAATCTTCTGAACTCTGATCTCACTGCTCACTAGCTTTGCCTCACTAATTTTATTTGAAGCTAATGATGGCTAAGCTCAATAGCTACAAAAATAGATAGGAAATGGCTATGTTGTCTTTTTTTAAATGTCAGCAAGTGAAATCCACTTGCTATTTTAATACTTTTGAGTAAATTCTTTAAATATGCTATCTAATGCAATGAGTTTGCATTTTATGTTCGTTGAATGCTAGACAGTTGATTTAGTGATGTAGTATATCAGAGTTCAAAATATTTCAGACATGTACAGTATAATTTATGTTAAATTTTGTTTGCAAGCCTGCAAGACAACTTCAACACCTTCATATTTGACTTGGAAGCGGCACTATAGTGTATAAACCTTTTATTTCCGTTTATTGGTAATGTAACCATACATTTACCATTACCATTTGAGAAAAGTTATGTTGATAAGTTTACAGCAGACCTGTATACAATCTGCTGTATATAGCATACTTTTTATATAGCACTTTTTTTTAAATAACAATTGTTACATATATTGACCCAAAATGATCCTATAACCAAATTGCATGAGTTGACCCTTTATTGCAATGTGATTATTTCGCACTACACTGCTGGACAGCCTGTAGGCCTGCATTTTCCAGTAGGTAAGGGTCCTGGTAGTACAGTCCGGTTCATGCTTCACGCACAATCAAGAATTCTGGGTTCGAATCTCGTGCGAGACAGAAATGGTTGGGCACATTTCCTTTTGCCTAATGTCTCTGTTCACCTAGCCATGAGTAGGTACGCAAGAGTTAGTCAGCTTGTTGTGGGGTTGCATCCTGGGCGAAGTCAGTAATTTGGCTTGGGGGGGGGGGGACCTCGATAAAAGCCAAAGCATGTATGAATACACTCTGGCTTCCTGTCCTCCTACACAATGAATTAAAATGTCAACGTAGACAATCTTCTATTTGCTTGCTGAGCTACTTGTGCACTGGTATTTAAATCTCATAATCAGAGTAGAAATGTTTTCCCACTTAGTGCCTTTCTCCCTACTTTAAAAAGATAATCACTTGGAGGCAAGACACAAGAACAAGGGGGGGGGGGGGTGTATGTAACTTTTGCTTTTTTCATGTGAACTACTCTTGTATTTCATTCCATTCACCTGAGCTCTAGGAGAATCGAACCGTGGATGCCACGTGTGCGAGGCCGAAGCTCTATCGACCGAGCTATTGAGTAGTCTTCATAAGGAAAGTTTCCAGAAGCAGCATCCTGCTGCCAAACTGGAATTTTCTTTCGACTTTCCCTGACTACTACTGAAGCTCGGAGGAATTAGTGATCCACGGCCACGTCATATATATGACAATTTATATGACGTGGGCATATAAATTGTCCCACCCACCCTTTGGTGGGGGACAAGGGGGGGGGGGTCTGAGGTGAGAGGGGGCTGGGAGGATCCAGTATGGGAAAGCTAGGAGGGTCTGAGGTGGTGTAGCTGAGAGGATCTGGGGTTGGGGGTCACTTAGGACTTGGGATGATGGAACATGTGGAAGGGGAGGGGGGGAGGGAGGTCATTGGTTGGAGAATGCAGAGGGGGGGGGGCTGGAAGGTCAGGGGAAGGGAAACCTGGGGTGGGTGGGGGGGAGGAAGGAGAGCTTGGGGTGGGGGTACTGGGGAGGCCATGGGCTGGAAAAACAGGGGTTGGCATGGGGGTGTGGGAACAGGGAGGGCCTAAGGGTGGGCATAGAGGAACACATGGAGGGCCTGAGGTTGGGGTGGAGGGGGGGGGATGGACTGGGGAGGGTCTCTGCTGGTTGGGGAGGTGCAGGTGATTGGGGGGGAGGACAAATGATTGTGGGGTTGGATGGCGGGAGGTTTCTGTTATATTCTGTCTGGAAATGCTGGCCTGCTGGTGAGGGGATTCCCACTCCCCTCCTGAGGTTACTGGAGATACTGCATCATGTCCTGCCTCCCCCCCACCCCATTCCCATACCTTCCCTTGCATCTCATCCTTGCTTCTGCAGCCTTCCTTCTCCCTTCCCTCGTCATGTCCCTCTGCAGAAAAACGTCCTTGTATCCCCCTAGTCTCTTAAGCTTGCTCTTCCTTGACAGGATTTCCTCTTTTGTTGCCTCGTTCTTAAGTACTAACTTTATTAGTAGTTTTCTTTCCTTGTTGTAGGTGCCCAGCCTGAAAACTTTCTCTGTGTTGCCATGAGCCCCTGCCATATCCACGACCTCCAAGATCTTTGTCGCCGTTGCCCTGTCCTTCCTTTTCCACTCATCCTGGTTGGATCCTTCCGGTTCCTGTATTCTTACAACTACAATAGACTGTGCACACAATAGACTGTGCACACAATAGACTGTGCACACAATAGACTGTGCACACAATAGACTGTGCACACAACTAATGTGTGTGTGTGTGTGTGTGTGTGTGTGTGTGTGTGTGTGTGTGTGTGTGTGTGTGTGTGTGTGTGTGTGTGTGTGTGTGTGTGTGTGTGTGTGTGTGTGTACTCACCTATTTGTGCTTGCGGGGGTTAAGCTTTGGCTCTTTGGTCCCGCCTCTCAACTGTGTGTGTGTGTGTACACGAGAAAGAGAGAGCGCGAGGGAAGCAGACAAACTAATTACACGTGTTGACAGGTGTGGGTGGGGGTAGGGAAGGGGGGGGGTGTAGTGTTCCATAGCTTCTAACTGTAAGTCACACGGCGGAACCTCGGGTTATTTGCGTGTCGCTCACCCGTGAAATATATACACAGGATGACCCCCCTCTCCATTACCTGTACCTTGTGGCGTATCCCATCGTCGCGTTGGATCATTACCTATTAGTTTGTAGTATTCAGCTTCCCCCCCCCCCAATTAGTCCTATATAAAACTGTTTTTTATGTTGTTTTAGCTTCCTGGTGTAAAGAAACGCAGGTGTTTGTGTGTTTAGAAGGCGGGGTGAGGGTTGTGTGTGGCGGGACAGGACTGTTTGTAGGGTCACAACATGGCGGTCACGGCCACCCCCCGCCCACTTTCTCCGCACGTCATCTTGCTAGGGCCTTCCTCACACACACCTGCTACACCTGTGGCCGCCACAAGTGCCCACAGGTGTAGCTCGCGTGCCAAACACCAGCCCCATCTGCCTTTATCCTGTACAAAATTGAAATTGAAATAAGTTTATTGAGGTAAAATACACACAAAGGGATGAGGTAGCTCAAGCTATTCTCACCCCGTTCAGTACATCGTGTTAATACATAAATATACACACTTTATAAGCAATAAACGTATTACCGAACATTCTGAGAGATAAACATATACATTTCCTCCTTTACACATGTACAAAAGTAGTTTCTAAATAAACAATGATAAACAGTCCGTCGCTAAAGCGTTTTATTTTATTTAATTAATTTGTCGACCGTAACAGATACAATTGTTTAGTAACGGAAGACGACAAAAGCTTCATTAGAGCAATTCTTGGACCGTAAATGATCTTGTGAAAAAAAAAGATAATTGCATCACGTACAAGGGAAAGTTTGGGTGGTAGGAAAGTAGTACTTCCGGTTGCAACATTGTGTTAGCTGCCAGGCTAGTGGGCAAGTGTTGGCTGGCTGGCTGGCTGGCTGGCTGTCTGGCTGGCTGTCTGGCTGGCTGTCTGTCTGTCTGGCTGGCTGGCTGGTTAGCTGGCTGGCTGGCTGGTCAGAACGCTGCCAGACCTACCATGACGATGGTTTCTTCTAACAGTCCTTAAAGATACACCAGTTATTGTGTGTGTTAGGAAATGCAGATGTTTATCTCTCAGAATGTTTGGTAATATGTTTATTGTTTGTGATGTGTGTATATGTATGTATTAACACGATGTACTGAACGGGGTGAGCATAGCTTGAGCTACCTCATCCCTTTGTGTGTATTTTACCTCAATAAACTTATTTCAATTTCAATTTCAATGTGAGTATTAAACGTGTCTGCACATATAGAAACGTTTATACAGGCGTCGTTGTAACTCAAGTGACACGTGTAACGATGACCTCGTTAATAAACGCAGACGAGTCACAACAACAACAACAACAACAACGCGGCTGAAAGACACGATGACCCAAACATACACATCAGAAGATGCAGAAACGACGACGTTTCGGTCCGTCCTGGACCACTATCAACTCCTCGGACCACTATCACATACGACTTGATATTAATGGTCCAGGACGGACCGAAACGTCGTAGTTTCTTCACCTTCTGATGTGTGGGGTTGGTCATCAATGTATTGAAGTGGCGACAACATTTCCCCCCCACCACCACGACGTCGTCCAGTATACAAGAGACGCTTTGTCCCCGAGTAGGGCGGGAGGAGAACAGTGTGTACCCCTGTACGTCATCGCTACTCTTTAACAACACCCAAGCCAACCAAAATAATAAAAACTTTTGGGTTGTAAATAAATTATATATATAATAAATTATATATATATATATATATATATATATATATATATATATGTCGTATCTAGTAGCCAGAACTCACTTCTCAGCCTACTATGCAAGGCCAAATTTGCCTAGTAAGCCAAGTTTTCATGAATTAATTGTTTTTCGACTACCTAACCTAACCTAACTTTTTCGGCTACCTAACCTAACCTATAAAGATAGGTTAGGTTAGGTTAGGTAGGGTTGGTTAGGTTCGGTCATATCTACGTTAATTTTAACTCCAATAAAAAAAATTGACCTCATACATAATGAAATTGGTAGCTTTATCATTTCATAAGAAAAAAATTAGTGAAAATATATTAATTCAGGAAAACTTGCCTTATTAGGCAAATTTGGTCTTGCATATTAGGCTGAGAATTGCGTTCTGGCTACTAGGTACGACATATATATATATATATATATATATATATATATATATATACCTATATATATATATATATATATATATATATATATATATATATATACCTAATATATATATATATATATATATATATATATATATATATATATACCTATATATATATATATATATATATATATAT